AAGAACGTTTGCAAGAAGGTGTATGTAGTCTAGATACAAGAATGAAGCAAGTACAGAATGAAATGATCGTGCAAGAAGAACTGCGAAAAGCAGCTCTAAAGTACTCCACTCTACAACTAGAAAGAAAGTTTGGACTGGATGCAGACCATGAACTTGAAAAGAAACTCGAGCAGCTGAAAAACATAGGAATCGAATTTACAGAGAAACAAAAAAGCTGGCTTCTGAATTTACCTTGGTTGCAACTAGTCCTAGACACATCGGATTTGACAAATTCATTTTTACGGTGCAAACTCTGCAGCAGAGAAGCTAAGCTGAGAGACGACGCATTATGGTTCCGCCACTGTTCGACTGTTACGCCCTGTCCCGATGAGAAATGTGTGAATCTGATGGGAGCAGGAAGTGTTTTGTGTATCAAAAGAGTCTCAAATTATCATCGCGGCTGGGGTGCCGGTATCCTTCGCGCTGTCGGACGTCATCCGAATTCCAAAGAGCACGAAGACGGATTGAAGTCTTATCACATGGCGCTCGGAGCTCAGGAGCAGCAAAATCAGGATCTTGCGGTAAAAGCCACCGTAACGGCGACAGTGGGAGCCTACACTATAGCTAAGCAGGGTCTTCCCTTGACTTCGCAGTTTCCTCTGATGATGTTTGCATTGAGAGCGGGAGCCGTTGTTGGCAGTGCTCACTACGAAGCAACAACTGCGAAACGAATGATAAAAACTTTTGCAGTGCACATTGAATACGAACTGTTCAGCTACGTGATAGCAAATGATCTCCCATTTTCTATACTAATGGATGGATCATCATCCTCAAGAGGGACGAAGTGGATGGCGTATATGATCCGCACTATAACTCCCTCATTCGAACCGTACACTTTCCACCTTCTTCTCGCCGAAATATCACGCGAAACAGGTCAGATCATAACAGACGTGCTACTCTCACATCTAAACGAGCTGGACTCTTGGGTTACCTCTCCCGGTCTCAGGATCTCACCACATGAGCATGCTATGAAACGACTAATTGCTATTACAACAGATGGAGCGGCTACAATGACCGGTCGTGATGAAGGTGTTTTTGGTAGGCTCCAGAGACATATCCAATCGAAAAGCTCATCTCCAGTGAGAACAGAATTGCTCTTATCTGTGTGTGCTGCCCATCAACTGAATATTGCAATGAAAAATGCAAACCACATTGCTTATAAGCTTGCCAGAGCTCTTATAATGGAGATGCACACGATTTTCGGGACCCCACAATCGTCCTCCGCAAGACGACATTACAAAGACATAGCACGTTTGATGTCGTTTCCAAATTTACAAATGGGCCAATTTTTCGCAATTAGATGGTCGGACAGCTTCAGTAAAGGGCTGAGTAACATTATTCGCATGTGGCCGGTATTAATCGAAAGCTTGGATAAGGTGGACAGTGACAGTAGCATTTCTGAAAATCTACGCATCAGAGCAAAATGCGCTTCCTGGGTGATGCGGGATGGACGCGTATTCCTTATGATGAGACATGTCTTGAATGCTCTTCGTAAAGTCTCCTCTCTATCGCTGCTTTTCCAAAATACAGACAGTATGGCCATAGATGCAATAGAAGCTACTCGTGCTACTACACAGTCGCTTATAGACGGGTCACTGAAAAATGACCTACATCAAGAACTGATGGCATACAAATCTGTAATAAATGTTTATGATGGAAAACACCTAAAGCGAGTGGATGAGCAATTTCTGATGAACTATTATGAAATATTAGAAAATAGTCAAGCAAGAAAATGGCGTCTTGTCTACCTTCCAGAAAGTTTCAAAGACTTCAAAAAGAAAGTTGAGGTCGACTTTACAAACGAAGAGATAGAGGAGAGATCTAGACTGCTATCGTACAAAATCTTCACTACGTCAGAAGGATCATCAAGCGAGAGTGGCCTTGAAGACATAATAGATCTGGATTCCAGTAGCCTCCATTTCTATCAGGACAGCTCCCCTGATGTTAATTTCGACGTGCCTTTAAATTTTGGACTTGGATCTACCTTTCGCGACTTCTTGTTGCACCTAGGTGAAAAGACTGTACAAAAGGAGGCTGAAGATTTGTATACCAACACCTATACATCTATTATCCGCAAATTTGGGGAGCAATTGATACCGGGTAACCTCTTTGTTGCGGTAGATCGCCACATAATCCTTGACATCATAGATTTCGATGGCGATTTTAGAACGGAATGGGATAATTACATACCCCCAAATGCTACTTTTTCCAACAGAGGGTATCCATTGTACATTGGATTACGTAATGAGTACCATACGTCTGTACGACGAGATTTGATGAATGAATCAATAAGACTCTTGGAAAAATATTGTGTCGTTTCCGCATTGAAAGAAGCTTTGTACTCTTTTTATTCCACTTTGCACGAGAAAGTGGAAAGTTTAGAACAGTGGCCGGAGGATTTAAGAAATGATAAGAGTTCTAAGAGGATCTACAAAAAGCTGCTGGAATTCCAAGAAAAGCTTAACATGCCTGAGGAAGTTGAAATGGTAAGATTTACACAATTTGTAAAGGTCCTGTTCATAATGTATTGATGCAGGTGCTCAAATGCATTCTCGTCATTCCATCCAGCAATGCGGATTCAGAACGAACATTTTCCACAGCAAATCGTCTTACAGCTGGCGAAAGGAGCAGTCTTTCCACAAAAACAATCAATACCATGATGCAGTAAGATTTCTTTAATCATCTTTTCTTTTAATGTCACCAAAATTTACAGCATTCAAAGAAATGGTCCAAATCTCTTGACACTAGAACCATCTCAACTAGCCTATCAGTGGGTACACCCCCTGCCTGGCCTGGGTTTGAGGTCGGGTGTACACTCCACCAGAGGATCTTCCACGAACACAATGGCTTCTATTAAGAAAGCCTTCTATGCAAGTCAGCATTTGCGTGAACCACATATACGTGATATTTGAATTGTGCACTCAACTCCATCAAAATAGGCCATTAATTTTGCAGAGAATCTGGGTGATGCTAATTCGCTACGCAATTTGATTGGACCGGCAATTGAAGTTGACACACTTCTGAACGTGTTTGGTGATCAGGCGATCAGGGCAACTCTTCATAGCAAAAGCGATATAGAAGACTTTCGGAAAGACTTGATAGCTGTGGAAAAAGACAAGGCGGCAATTTTCAGCATTGGGATAGTTAATGATGAAAACCAATAAATCTTTTACAGTCTCCTCACAAAAAAAAATACATATTAGCTATCATTTACTTAATTTGGGTCTTTTTCAACCTTCACACTCATCGGTAAGCTTTTTCGGAATTTTTTGGCCAGCATTGTTTTCAAGTGCTCGCACGTTTGACGCCATGACACCAGCACCAGCAAACAAGGACAGGTGCGATTTTGATCTGCCTCCACTCTGGATTGATTTAAATGTTCCGAAATCGGACGTCGATTCTTCAGATTCTGATTTTGAACCGGATGATAAGCTACATTCGCATTATAAAAGTGACTCATTCGAGGTACGCTTTCAATTAAAACTAGGCATTTTCACGCACGGTGACAACCCTGATTTCAGGAAGCTTTTGTTTGTGAGAAGGTGACGAAACGTGAATCGGAGAGTCCTACCCCCAACATGCTGGCGCACACCCAACGGACACAAAGACCGCCGTCTCCACCGTGGCCGGAAGTGACTCCGTTCGATTTCAGCGTCCATGGGTATAGTGAATGGGAGCGTGAAGAGGCTTCACATTACACATTAGTTGATGTTTCTACAATTTTTCTCAGAATGTAATTTGGTCGAATTCTCAAAGCAATAGAGCTTCTATCATCGATGTCAACACAGCTCATGTGTTAAACGAATTTGTCAAACAAGATTACTACATCTTAGTTCAGTAGGATGGAGCTTGATGTTTGCAAAGGCATTCAATGCATAGGCTTTTTTTTAAAAAAGATAAAGATACTATGATATCAATTTTTATTATACTGAAATGCCGATATATTCCCCTGCAATTTTTTTCCGGGGCTCCGCCCCGGACCCCGGAAAAACGATATCCCCTTTGCTTTCGGCCCCAAAAACGATATCCAGCTTGACCCGGTGCCAGCTGTGCTGAGCCCTGTCAGTTAGAGCTGGCGCGATTGAAGGCAGTGTCCAGGCAAATCCGGATGTGGAGTTCTTTTGTGGAAAGTAGTTTTGGGGCCCTATTACTTATTAATTATAATATTAATTATTCATTCTCATTCTCATTCACACAAGCACACTGAGCGGCAGCAGTATATATCCTCTTATATCCTACCATGGTTTCGAATCGTACTACCTCAATGAAGAAAAAATCCGGTGCGTCGAAACTTTCTTCTGCTATGCCTGACTCTAGCAGGCTTTCCAATGACGCCTCTAACGAAAGGCAAGTGCTGACTCAGAAACTCTCTGCTGATATAATCTCGCACTTGAACAATATTTCGTCTTTTTTGGCACTAACTCCAAGCGTACCTACTCAGGTCCTAGATTCATTCCAGGCCCTAAAGTCGGTATTAATCGGATTACATTCGAATTGCGAGGAGTATTTCCTCCAAAAAAGCGTCGTGTTACATGGCATCCCTGAACTCTCGGGTGAAAAACGTCCATCCGAGAGACAGGTTGATGTCGAAATGAAAGTAACCGAGATTCTGGACGTTCTGGGCGTCGAGGCGAGGCCGTCGGCGATTTTTCGTATGGGTAGGGCTACGGAGGACAAACCTCGTTTGACCAAAGTAACGCTGCCCTCAAGATCCCACTGCCTCGCTGTTCTGAGTAAAGCTCGGTTACTGAGGAACAACTCTAAGTACAGGAATATCTTCATTAGGCCTAGTCAGACAGTGGAAGAGCGCAGGAGAGACTTTGAATTGCGTAAAGAGGCTCGTGAGAAAAATCAAGCTTTGAGTCAAAAAACATACGTGGTATACAGAGGTGAAGTAGTCAAGATAACAGACATTCGCAATAGTCAGAGTCAAGTCTCACCTTAGATAAAGTGATTTTCATGCATGGTGTCAATGGAATGAGTTGTATGATGTTAAATGCACGTAGTCTCGCAATAAGATAGATTCATTTCGTCTTCTTCTAGCTATTGATAAACCTGATATTGTCTGTATTACCGAATCTTGGCTCTCATTCTCAATCAATTCATCAGAGTTGTGCTTCAATCTTCTTTATGTTGTCTTTCGTAAAGATCGTATAGGAAAACGGGGGGGGGGGAGGTATCTGTGTTTTTATTCGAGATACGACCTTTGCGAAGATATCTCTATACCTGCATCTACTTTGAGTGATGTGCTAGCACTGAAACTTTTCAATCATCCTCTACAGTTAGAATGTGCAATTGTTCTAGTCTACCGCCCTCCCTCATCCTCATACTCTGATGATTCCGACTTATCCAATTAATACAAACATTTGGTTGTAACTTTCAAAACATTGTGCTTCTGGGTGATTTCAACCTCAATGTTGATTGGTCGACCTTGACACCACTATGTCCTGATGCTTCCAGATTCATCAATTTGTTTCATGTTCTTTCATTGCAACAGCATGTATTGTACCCCACAAGAAACAATAACATCCTTGATCTTGTACTTTGTACTAATTCCATGATTTATGATCTAACCGTTAGATCTCCTCTATGTGGTTCCGATCATGCTAGCATTTATTTTAGATTGATGATTCCCAATGACTACCATAAGATAAATACGGTGAGTACCTACCCTGACTATTCCAAGGCTGATTACTCGACTATCTCATCCATCCTAAGTACCATTGATTGGTGGACCTTACTTGAGGACTCGTCATCAATAGATGAACTTTATCAGCGTTTTCTTGATACACTGAATGATATCTTAACACGTTATGTGCCATTAAAGCAGGAAAAGAATTCCTGCGACTATCCATTGCACATAAAAAATTTGATTGCGCAAAGAAATCGCTTATTCACTTCAGTCCGTAATCCCTTACAATCAGATAAATACAAAAAAATCACTAATGAACTGTCTAAACATACAGCTGAATATAATGCATATAGACAGAAATACTTATCTCGAATGAATCTTACTTTCCTCCATAAATACATCCGCCTTTTTCTAAAAGAGAAACACATGGGCAAAATTTTACATGATGAAGCGGGAAATCTCTTGATGACTGACCAAGAAAGAGCTGAAGGTTTAGCCCACTATTTTGCTTCAGTTTTTCGACCCACAACAGAGTCACATTCAGTCTTAAAACAATCAACTATGCCCTTCTACTCATGTGCCCCACAGGCTTTTCCTTGGGAAGTGAGTAGACTCCTGAAAAAACTCAAGACATCATGTTTCATTACCAGTGATTTTCTCCCGCAGATTGTTTTCAAGAAATGTGCTGATCAATTAGCTGTCCCCGTTTCAATAATAGTGAACCTTTCCCTCAAATCCGGTGAACTTCCAAAAATATGGAAACATGGCATAGTAGTGCCTGTTCCAAAGGTCACTAACCACAACGTGTCACTGAATTTCGCCCTACATGTATTACTTCGACTCTTTGTAAAATTGCAGAAAAGATCATAAAGAAAAGGCTACTCTCTTTTTGTGAAAGAAAAAGCCTCATACCTTTGGAACAATATGGCTTTATACATGGATCATCTACTACACAACAATTAGTCGCATGTGATTTTTACTGGAAGAAAGCTTTGGCTCTCAAACAAAAAACTGACATTCTGTATTTTGATCTATTCAAGGCCTTTGACAAAGCGAATATTCCAAAACTGATAGAAAAACTCTCCGAAGCAAGAATTGATAGAGATCTTTTGAGATGGATAACTTCTTACTTATATGGAAGAACCTTCTCAGTGCGTGTAAACGCAACCATGTCCCAGATTTACTCTGTGACTAGTGGAGTACCTCAAGGTGGTGTTTTATCACCCATCCTCTTCTTATATAAATATAAAGCTGAATGTCTGTTTGTCTGTCTGTCTGTGTGTATGTGTGTACGTATGTTCCGAATAGAAAATTCCATTTCTGAACCGATCGGGACCAAACTTGGCACACATACACTTCGGGCCCCGGCGGGTGTCATAGGCTACTTTTCGTATCGATCGATATCGATTTTATCGATTTTTTGCAAAATTTGAGCTACGGGGCTGGGAGTTGGCACACGGGGGTAAGTGAGCATGGGGATTCCGAATACAATATTAGTTTTTGAAATCGTGCATTACTTTTTTCGATTTTATCGATTTTTTTGCAAAGTTTGAGCTACGAGGCTGGGATTTGGCACAGGGGGGTAATCGAGCATGCTGATCACCCCCGTGGGGGTGATCAGCATGCTCGATTACCCCCTGTGCCAACTCCCAGCCCGGTAGCTCAAATTTTGCAAAAAATCGATAAAATAGACATCGATCGATAACGAAAAGTGGACTGTGACACCCGCCGGGGCCCGAAGGGTATGTGTGCCAAGTTTGGTCCGGATCGGTTAAGAAATGGAATTTTCTATTCGGAACATACGGCGGAGCCGGGTAAGCCAGCTAGTCAACCTATATACTAGAGACCTTCTTCCTCGCTTATCTAATAACAAAGTGAAGGTGGTCGCTTACGCAGATGACATAAAAGTATTTGGCTCTTACTCAGACTTGAATAGAGATGAAGTGATGGACGCTTTGAGAACTAGTCTTCAAAATATGCTGTCTTGGGCTACACAAAATGACATTGACGTCAATCTTGCGAAAAGTGCTTGTCTGACCATTATAATCGGACAAATAATACTATAAATCTAGAGGATTGTATTCACTCTGGTACCTCACTCACCAGACCAATGATTGTACGTGATCTTGGTGTTTTGATAAATCAACAACTCCTTTTACGACCCCATATAGAGCACTGCTCACGTATAGCCTCACGCAATATGTTTTTCCTGCTACGCAATATAAAGCATGCTAATCAAGATGTCTATATCAAGCTCTATACTGCGTATGTTCTTCCACATCTAGAGTACGCTAGCCAAGTTTGGAGTCCCTTTCTCAAAAAAAAATATTCTAACCCTGGAAAAGGTTCAAATGACTTTTACACGTATTCTATTTTATAGAGTTTTCCCAAATTCTGATTATCCTTATGCCCTTCCATCTTATAGATGCAGATTAGAACGTTTGAAACTTCGCAGCTTGTTATATCGCAGGGTAGTTGCTGATTTAGTTCTTGGCTTTCAAATGATTCGTCTTGAGACTAACTTACGACCCAGTGAATTCTGGATATGGAAGGTCTCCTATGGTCGAACAGGTGCATTTAGTTTTTATTCTGATATTTCTACTTCTTCTTCAAATAAACTATTCTTTCACTCCTTCTTTCCACGCACTGCACGTTGGCTGCAGAAACTACCTGACTCGGTACTCTCTGCACCTAGCGCTGTCGTGTTCAAAAAGAGACTTATAAAGTACAATGTATTATCGTTAATAGGGATTGATGAAAACGAATATTTCTGAAGGCAATCCTTTTACTCTTCTTTCCTGGCTCCTGTTCTTTTTAGGTAAAATATGGAATAATCCTTCGTCTGCTTGATCAACTTTTCAAGAGGCCATACCCACTGACTATCTAAAAAAGAGAAGCTGCTTACTTCAGTTCTTCCCTCCCTGTTTTACTTCTTTCAGATTTTTGGCGAGCTAAATCTATCCACCATTCTATCTTCAACGAAATCATACAACATTGGCTGAATTTTCATATACATTCTTGTACACCTTTTCAAATATACTACTGTCTAAATTTTTCTACTTAACGCTCTATCTTTATCAATCCTGTGCTAGTTTCTTGATTTGG